CCACACACACGCGGGTAAGCCACCGCCACGATTGACAGTCACCTCTTTTCTATTCTTCCTCCTTCTTTTTCCCAAAACGGTCACCCAAGGCTCACTCCTCTCGGGACCCGAGGAAGAAAGACAGTACGGATGATCCCCTGTCCGCGGATCAGCATCCTCCCGCACGATCCGACCCCTCACGTCAACCATTTTCCGCACAGATGAGTCCTCTAAAAGCGGCTTGGTGACTCCCTTCAACGCAGGGCGACGCGCAGGAGGAATATCCCCAACCACACGACGAACACCCCCCCGCACCCAGAGGAGAGGCGCGTGAGGATCGGCCAGTTTCCCCACGCTCTCTCCCTCCTGTCGCTTAACAGCCATGAAGCTCCCTCCTCAAGATCTTGACCACCTCACGGAGACCATCTCTGTCTCTCTGGACTAACCCCATTTCTATCTTGAGTGCTTCCACTTCTTGCTCAAGCTGGTGACATCGTCCCTTCAATGTCCTCGCTGGCTCCTGAGTCCTGGCCGAGTTCGCCACCTTCGCCGCTAACATTTGGACAGCTTGTTTAGCCACCTCGACTCCAACGATGATCTTCCGACGAAAATCACCCTTCATCGTCGACGTTTCCCGCTGCGCGCTACTTGCCTCGTCCAGAACTCGCAGAGCCTCCGTCATTATGGTGCTGGGAGACATCTCAGGAAACGCATACGTCACGCGGACTTCTGATTCGAGGTCAGGGAGTCATCTAAAGGACGCTCCTATATCTTCCTTTTTTTGCCAGCCTGCTCGTCCCTTTTGGTGATCTGGCGGAAGTCGGACTGATCCAGCATATCAACCTTATAGACTTCCATACTCGTGGCACTCATTTTAGACAGGGATTTAGCCCCAGGGACATTACTCCCCTTCGGTTTGCATCCTCTCTTTTTTCCTCAAATCACCTCGGCCGCACCCGCCGATGAGATCGAGTCCGTTGAGAAATCGGCTCGCCTCCCCGAGCTGTCGACCACCATCGGCGCATCCGACGTCTCGACAGCTGTAACCGGCAAATGCACGATGTCACTATCCACAACGCGCAATCTATGTTCACTGGGGAGACGCACATTACATACGACTCTGGGCCCGGGCCCCTTAGCACGAACACTGTCCAGCACGATGGTTGTCCGCGATTAAATCGTCCTGACACTTTGAAGACTCACCAGTAACAGGCGTCGGCAGAATATCCGTGAGCTTATACCGCTCAAGGAGTGTACCCCTCCCACGCGTGATGGGACCGGGAGTCTCGCACACACTCCAATCAACGATGCCCTCAGCGGTAGCCGTATCGGCCGCGGAGCCCGCCGGCAACTCCGCGACTTGCCCCTCGCATGATTCCCCCGTAGGGGTCGATCGCCCGGGAGCGGGTACACTACCCCCGGGAGACCGTGACGGGCATCCGAATTCCCGTCGTGTCAATTCCTTTTTTGTATCGTCCATGTTGCATATATTGCCGGCGATGGATAAAAAGCCGGGTGACTCGCCGGCCAATCACCCGAATCGCCTCTAGCATTATCCGCGACTGCCTAAGCGGACGACCGTCCGGCGGCAAGGACGACACCGCCGGACAGCCGCAAGGCGAACTTGTACCAAAGTCGGTTGGTTGGACCTACCTCCGCCTTTTCGTCCATTCGATACAGCGCACTCGATTGACTCGCTTGATGGAACATGTTCGCTAAAAAGTGGAATGGTACTTACCACTCCTCGACGAATTTCCTTCGACACACCTCCAGGATAGGAAGCAGAAAGCAAAACCCGAAGGATAACCCACATTCTGGAGTTTCCATGTCGGACCTTCACTGTTCGCAGGTCTCCGGCCGTCCTCCATCTCAGTGGCCACAAGAGAGAACACAAGCCAGGATCCAGAGAACTGCACTATCCTCACAATTTAACATTAAATCAATAACAACAGTTCATTCACTTATATACACAGTATTTACACTACATACACACTTAACAGAGTTTACATAGTCCGTCTATACTTCCACAGTCCGTCTATATAGTCTCACAGTTACTAGCGTTCATGCGCTCCCCACTTGGCCGCTGTTGGATGATTCACCCATCACCCATTCATCTCGTGGCCGCGCACCTCTACCACGAGACAGAGAGATCTTTTATAGAGGGCCCAGCTCGACATCCGAGAAGTCGGATGCAATCTCGGACGCTCGGTCTCTTCCGTGTGCAAGGAAAGGGATTACGAGAGCTCAGGCACCGCGGGTTCGCTAAACCCGTAGCGGAATCATATCGAGATGCGACCGAAGAGATCGGACCGCATCCGAGATGATCCTACCCCCTGCGGGCTTTTTTAAAGCATTACTTTTCAAATCTCTCCGTACCTTATAAAAACTAATTCATATATAGTATATTTTACAATATTATTATGTTAATATTTGTTACATTATTTTAAACAATTATAAACATATAAGTAAAAACTTATAATTGTAAACAATGAGTTCTCTGCTCTAAAATGTTTATTCACAAAAAATAAATTTGTGTTTTAGAGCAGAGAACTCGTTTTTAAGTAGCGAATTTGTGACTGCAGCGCATGTTTGTATTGCGGTATTTCGTAGCTGTGACAGATTTCCTAACCCCAATAGTCGTCAACTTTAATGATCAATATCTCGCTTCGTAGGGCAGTACTTCCAGACTTTTTTCTATCAGATTCTTTCATTCTGTTTAAAAATGCGAATGAGCCTAATTTCATTAAAATTTGTTTAGAGGCAGTTCTTCTGAATGTTACAAATGTTCTATAGTGTTTCATAGCATTTAAAGTGCTAAATGGACCGCAGCCAAAAGTCATTCCAGATTGTCCATAGACTAGGATATATGAGAGCTTTATCTCTATGAGAGTTTTCCAACAGAAGCACAAATCGACCCAAGAATCATTCCGTCTTTGTTTTTTACTGATTATTGAACAAGGATAGAATGACTCTTGTGTCAATTTGTGTCTCTTGCTGGAAAGCTTCCTATGGGTGTTTTCTAATTGCTTAACACATCTTAACACAAACATACTCAGGAATGCACAAAGTATATCATTGTGTATGATTCAATTTGAACAGAATGTGTACGCTGTGCATGGTTGAGATCCGTTTCGAATGAACTTAGATTAAATGTAGCTTTTTTCGTCTGTATTAAATAAAAAAAAGGAAAAGTGCTGGCCACTCAACGTCTTCAAACTTTATTTATAGCCGCCGCAGTTAGTAATATGTAACTGTCATTAGAAAACACAAGCTTACACACCTTCGACTGAGAACAGATGTGTAGCGTTATGTCGATGATAACGGACAATTGGAACGCAACTTGTGTCGCCATGTGTACGAAAGTGGACATTGCAATTGGAAAGTACTCTATGTTTCTCAAACTGTCATCGTATGTTTCCTACAAAGTTTATCCATACCTCGCAGGATAAGGTTTACGAACGTTCTATGTACAATTTGATGCTCCATTCCTACAAACTGGGGGGGGGGGGTCACTAAAATCCATTCGGTTTTTTTATCTATTAAGTGCGTTCGGCATTACAAATCGGATACATATCTTTTATCTCGAAAATCATTATCGGCAACTCGTATCTTTCTGCTACATGTCATCTTATCTGCGTTTGGTATTAACATTTCTAGAGCCAATTGAGCTGCTCGATCTACTCCGGATTTAAAGACCGGGCTCGCAGAGCTAATGCAGATTTTCGCGGCTAAATTAAATTCATAACCTGTATATTTATGAGAATGTATCCACCTTTGTTAATACATAACGTACCTTCATTTCTTTTAATACTTCTATTTTACTATTACGTCTAAACTGTAGAGATAAGTTTAGAAAAAGAGGAAATAAGAAGGATAGAGTATGGAAGGAGCAGACGCTTTTGCCCGTATTCATAGTCAGGCCTTGTATTTAAGGCTTCCTTAAATTTATCTTCAGATACTCTATAAATTATTTCATTGACTACTGAGCATCTAAAGATAAATTTAAGGAAGTCTTAAGTACAAGGTCTGAATACTATGAATACGGGCATTTGTCTCGCACGCATCCGCATGGAAGGGTATGCAGCGAGTCAAACGCACCTAGGTGATTTCGAAACGTAGGCCAACGCCTCGATAAGACGCTATGAATCGTGCGATCGTGAGTCCTATTTTGAGTCAAGAAACTTAATCCCTTTATCCCGGAATAGAACCGTGTCCGAACTTATGCTAGCAGGATATTTGTACGCGGGAATAATAAAAGATATTACGAGCAAATCATTTTAACAAAGCACACACATACGAGGGTGGTCCCAGAAGTACCCGACCTAACAAAGAAAACACAAACAATTTGGGAAAAAATATCTTTATTTCTCAACATAGTCTCCTTTTAGCTCGATACACTTTTCCCAGCGATTCAATAGCTTCGATGGCCTGTTTATAGTAAGAACCGTTGAACTCCTCAAAATAGCCATTAACCGCAGACTTCACCTCTTCATTGTTGGTAAATCTTCTACCACCAAGCCATTTTTTCAAGTTTGGAAAGAGAAAATAATCCGAGGGCGCTAAATTTGGCGAATAGGGTGCGTGGGGAAGCAATTCGAACTTTAACTCATTGATTTTGGCCATTGCGATAATGGATGTGTGAACTGGTGCATTGTCTTGATGAAACAACACTTTCTTTCTCGCCAAATGTGGCCGTTTTTCCTTGATTTCATTACCCAAACGCTGCAATAAGTTCGCATAACACTCGCCATTGATTGTTCTTCCTTTCTGAAGGTAATCAATGAAAATTATGCCACGCGCATCCCAGAAAA